CCTGCATGTTTGTGCGCCCGCTACTACTACTACTACTACCACTACTAGTGCCAGTACCAGTACCACTACTGCTACTGCTGCAGCTGCTGCCCTCTTCTGGCACTAGCACTACTAGAGTACTGGTACTAGTACTACTAGAGAACTGCTAGTACTCTGACTGGCATTCTATGTGTGCAACTTGTCTTTCATTTCCCTGCATGTTTGTGCGCCCGCCGGCCGAACCGCTGAATCTTTCTGAACGGCTCAAAAGCAAACACAACAACCACAGTATATACAAGGTTTGCTTCTGTAGCAATGCACGCGGGGGTTGCGGCAATGCTGCAGACTGCAATGAGTGAGGAATCTGGTTCAGAGCCGGAAGGACCACCGCCTGCTCCGCCTCCTCCCACACCCAGAGAGGAAGTGGTTCCAACTATGGCGGAAGCGGCTCCTAAAGGGGAGGAGCATTTTGAATTTAATTGAAAAAGTTTTTTTTCCTTTCCTTAAATTCCTTAAGCAGTATCTGGATATGAACAGATCGTAGTGACTTCTTGTAATGGTTTGACCTAGGCACGATGAAGCTCCCAAATCGAATGATCTTCCAAAGAATGTCATCAAATGTGCCAAGATGTCACTTGGTGCAGTTTGGATGCTACATGATGCTATATATACATATATGTTCAGTCAGGCAAAGAGTAAAAGGCATTCTAAGTGCACACAAACAATCCACCCGACCTCTTCCAATCTATGAGGTGACACTGCAACTATTGCTATTTCCACCTTATAGATGCATTCTTTCACACACTATATGTCAGGCATTCTAAATGTCTATATAAATGGCAGCTCTAGCACAGCGCCCGCTGCAGGTTCAGCGTTCGGATGCCCGGAAGGGTTCGCCGGTTCCAGTTCTCAGACTTTCAGGGAGAAGAAACTGCCAAACTGGCAGCTGTCCAGTTTAGCGAGTCTGTCAACAAGCTGGTGACCCAGTTTGACATACTGAAGGGAAAGGCCACTAAGAGGAAACATGTTTCTCTGTGAATAGTTTTGGTCCCCAACACAAACACGATTTGTTGAAATGTTTCTGAACCCCGTTGCAACCACAATGCTTTTTCAGGCATTCTATCTTTCAGTCCGATGTGAAACGTTGTTTGCAGCGCAAGGCTCGCAATGAGTGGTTGGGGACGCTTAACATCTCTCTCAAAGGGCGCACTCTAGAACGGCAGTTGGCAGATCTTCAAGAACAGTGTTTTCAAGGACAAATTTGTTTGATGCTTAGTATTTTTTTTTGCGCAGGAACACTGCACATCAGTAAGTAACTGGAACACTGAGTCAGAGAAATGCACCCTATACACCATAGTTCTACTCAGGTCATGTGGAGAACTCGATTTTGAAGGTTGTGTGCCCTTCCGGCGATATCCGAGCATCCGGAAGGAAGTTTGAGGCAACTTTCCGCAAGGATGAGGAAGCAACATCAAAGCAGATGGACCGTGTGGAAGACTGCCACAGGTGGCTTTTGCAAATGCACAGGGGAGGCAGTGAGTGCAGCAAAGCTTCTGTGCCCAGTTCGAGCTTTGTCACATTTCCATGTTTCCCTGTATAGGTTTTGGCAGGCATTCCAAGTGTAGGCGCACCATTCCAGGCTTTTATTGATATATTGTATAATCTGAGTGTTCTTGGAAGATTTGGGTTCCCACCAAGGTGGCATTGGCTGAAGCCGAAGTCGCGGCGCGTGGAGGTGGTGGATTTGCCACCATTGCCAAGTCCCAAGCATCTGAGTCCCTGCAAAATGCCGATGACATTACCAGCGAATTGTTGAGCCGTCCAACACAGTATGGTCCCACAATGCCTACAGCAATGGTGTCTCTTCAGAAGGGCCCAGTCATGTCCTTTGTGGCATGGCAATCCCGTTCACCAGAGATTCGGTTTGATGCTTGGACAACCCAAAAAGGGATATCCAGACCGTGTGGAATGCCACAAGATCATTGCCTCAACATCACTCAGCTTTGAGGGTTTGCTGGGCCACAAGAACATCAAGAGATTATGTGAAACAAGTGGTCTCAAGCCAGTGGGCACCATTCAGGGTTCAGAGTCAGACCGATTACTCACGCAGTCACGCTTGGATGTCCTTCTGCACCCAACTGCCAAGTGTGCCATAGCCGCTTTTGTAGCTGGACGCATTCTAAGTGACCCTTTGTTTTACTTGTTGAGTCTTGTTTCAAAGCTTTTTGGAATGGCACGTGTGAGGGTCACACTGCTTGCTTGTGGAACCTCTGCGCCAGGTAAGCCATGGAGAACCAGGGAATATTACCATTATAGAAGCTATTTCTGGGCATCCATTGGCCCGGAGGCAGCCACAGTGGATGAGAACGCCAAAAGAGCTGTTGGGCAACTTGTGTTGGGTGGATGACTTGTTTGCTTCCAACAAAAAGCGACTCTCCGGCTTGGTTGTCAACGCTGTGGCAAAAACTTTGGTTGAAGATCCCGCTGTTCCAAGGGGTGCTGGTGGAACATCTGGCCCCAGAGTCCAGTACCGCGCAATCACTATAGCTGGAGATGGCCGCTGTGGGTGGAGAAGCTTGATAGCTTCCAAGGATGTTGCTTTGTACGAGTCTGTACCCAGGACAGGGCTCCAGCCTGTTCCAGTTCTGACACAAGTTTCAGCGCTCACACACAACCACACGCATATTCTTAGTGTCAAGTAGACCGTTGGCTGTACCAGCTTGCCACCCTGCAGGAATCAGTCAGGTTACCCTCTACACCCAAAACAGAACGAAGAGGAGGTTGGTGAGAGCGCTGCACTTTGTGAGCATGTCTGTCTGGACCCCAGTCGTTGTGAGGGCAACAACAAGGAACCACCCCACTTGACAATGTGTCTCAAAGCTGGACATTCTAAGTGCTGGTACAAATGGTACAAAAAGTATGCCCAAAAAAACTGTTTGCGCCGTTTGACTAGCTTCAATTTTTGCTTCCAGGGCATGATTGTTTCTCCCTCTCTTTTTTTGTCAATACACATAAAATGTTCGTTTGCCTTCTGGCACTTCAAGCTCCAAGGTGAGATTGCTTTGAGGAAGTATCCCAGCCTCACAGAGAGAATCCATGAAGTCGCACAGCAGGGTTCCTTTGAGGTGGAGGATGTGCAGTGGATAGCGAGGTGTCTTGGATGTTCCGTGCGAGTTTCCATGCCCTACAGCACGTGGACAAAAATCAAAGAACTTCAACCAGTCAACATATTGAACGACATGATCATTGGCGATGACCGTCAAGTCGGTCCTCACCTCTACTTTTCGTATGAAAAAGCCACCGAAGAGGAACGGTGGTTTGGGCATTGGAGCGTGCTGGTGCCTGGGTGTGGGATGAAGTGGTTTGCTGCAGTCGCCTCTCTCCAGCATTCATTTTTGCAGGGCCCACTTTGCTACTATATTCCTTTATCTGGTTGGCTAACTTTCCGGAATTTGCGAAAGTCTTCCCAAATTTCCTTGACGGTTCTAAAATGTCTTAAGTTCCATGGAAGCACTTAGAATGCTGATGATAAGCGTGATGTCGACCATGCTATTTCAAAAAATTGCATTTGAACCTTCATAGTTTCTTCCGATGTCATCCAATTCATTAACGGGTAGATCAAATCAGGGGAGACCGGATCAGGGGAGACCTCGACTTACTGACTGACTGGCTGGCTGACTGACTGACGGACTGACAGACTGGCTGACGTGTGCATCTGACGGACATCCAACAACACACACCGAGACTCACACAACGAAGTTCCTTAGCAATTGCCATGCATGAGTTGTCGCAATCCTGAAAAGGATGAACAAAGAATGAGGGATGTGAGGAAAGGAAGGTGAGGAGAGGAAGGAGAGGAGAGGAGCGCAGCCCGCGAGAGCAGGAGCTAGGCCCAAGCTAGAGCCAAAGCGGTAGGAGCCCATCAGCTGAAGCGGACTCTTCGCTTGGTTGTTGGAGCGCATCTTGGAGGGGCTGTGGTCTCCCCCGTTAAGGGAATAGACACAGAGACAGGACCAGAAATAGCGTAGATTATGCTGGTTGTAATGGATATATCAAGGGATCGGATGAAAACGGATGCAAATATGGAGCTTTGACGGAGTTCTGGAGGGCCAACAAATTCTAGCAATGTGTTGCTTCTCCTGAAACTGTGTAGGCATTCTAAGTGCATATGACCTTGCAGATGGTGATGGGTGGTGGACTGGGACTAGGGATGCGCGCGTCGGAAGCAGTGGAGCCTGGGTTGGAGATGAGCTCAATCAGGACTTTGATGAAACTTGAAAAGAATAACTTCAAATCGTTTGGGCAGATTATTGTTTTAAGAAAATTTTGATAGAGCAAGGGTTCTAAAATAGATGTACGATGATTTGGAAAGAAACCTTAAGGAATCGGATGACATCGGGTGCACGCCTGGAGGTTCTTTCTAGACATTCTAAGTGTAGATTAAATGGGAGACAAACC